GCAGCAATGGCAGCTACACCTAGCGTCTGGTCACTGGAGTGAGCATTTTGAATTTTTGTTTTGTCATTGTTGTTTTGGGTGCTGAGGTTGGACCCAGGGTTTAAGGGTGCTGAGCATGCAGTGCACCTCTGAGCTCTACCCTGAAGCCCCAGAGCACACATTTTGAGTCCTGCTTAAGCCTCTCCTGTTGTGCCCTCTGCTCCTGTGGGTAAGGTTAGATCTTGAGTTTCCATCCTCAGGGCTGCTGATCTCACCTGGGCTCACTGCTCCAGTCTCATCCCCACTCCACACCCCAGCCCTGTCCTCCTAGTCCACCCTCAGTAGCCTCGATGCTTGAGCCATGCTGACCCCTATTTTCACCTTGGGTCTCCCTTTGTCCTCTGATTATTTTTGATTAGATGTGAACAGCTACAGAGGCACTTAATAATGTGCCTCTTATGTGGCAGGTTCTGTGCAAACATTTTCTCATTTTAATTCTCACAATACCCTCTCAGGGTTCCTTCCCCTCTCCTTCCCTTCCCCTTCCCTTCCCCTCCTCTTCCCTTCCCTTCCCTTTTTCTTTTCTTCCCTTTCCTTTCCTTTTTTCTTCAGTCCCAGGCATTGAACTCTGGGCCTGCAAATGCTAGGCACATGCTCTATCACTGAGTTACATCCCTAGCCTCTCCTTCCTTTTTTAAAGGAAGATACAGTCTTTCTCAGCTCCCCAGGTTGGCCTTGAACTTATGACCCTCCTGCCTAAACCTCCAGAGCAGTTGGGACTACTGGTCACATCCAGCAGGAACCCCTTTTCACAGATAGAAGCAGAGCTCTGCTGGGTGAAGCCATGCCATGATGGCTCCATGACACTGCTTTGCTGATGACACAGATGCGCCATTTTACACTCCGCACAGCTCTGTTCCCGCCATCATGCGATGCAGTCCTCACAGTTTCGGTATCCCTTTTGTAAATGAGGAGATGGTGGGAAGGGAGGGACAGGGGCTTCCCCAGTGTGGCACAGTCGGGTTTGCCTGCCCCTTTGCCTCTTGGGAATGAGTGAGGATGGACCACACTTGATCCTCCATGTTCCTGGTGGAGATGGTTCCTATCCTGGCTTAGTGGGGATGAGATCTCCAAGTCCAGCTTTCAGAGAGACAATTGGGGCCCCAAAGGGGAAGGAACTTGTCCTCAAGGTCCTGCACCCCATCGATGAGGAATACAAGGAAGGGACTTGGGTCTTGATCTTAGCCCAGAGGTCTCGTCAGCTTTACTCTTTCAGGCAACCAATATTTATTGAACACCTACTGTGTACCAGCATATTGCTAGGTCTGAGAGTACAGTAGCAAACATATCACATACCTCTTCTTCTCTTTGCCCTGAAACTGATATTCTAGGCCTGGATGAGGTGGAGGCAATTGACACCAAATACATCATCCACAGCAACTTTCTTTTCTATTTCTTTCCTTTAACAAATAGTCATCGAGAACTATTTTGTTCTAAGATGAACACAGTCCTGGTTGCCCTGCAGGGAGAGGACTGGGGTGGGGGGAAGCACAAGTGACCCAGAAATGAGCAGAAGTTCAGGCCACGTTAGTGAGAAGGTGAAGGTGAAGATGCTCAAGAGCACCCAGGAGGACACTGGGAAGTTCTTTTGGCTGGGTTGTCATGGAAGGCAGCCTGAACTGAGATGTGAAAGATAGCTGCTCCAGGGCCAAGCAGGGAGTTCCAGATGGAGGAACAGGAGGTGGACTGCGTTTGGGGCATGGGAAGCACTTGGAGCAGGCCAAGGTGGATGAGCAGGGTGAAAGGGTTCAGAGGGGAGGTTGGCAGGGGGAAGGGGAATGGAGAGGCCCTGGATGGAGGGGCGGATGGCTGGCCTTACAGTGCAACCTGGGGGGGGGGGCGCCTAGTCATCTCTCCATCTGGGGGTTTCCCAGCCAGGCCCCCAGGGGTGGGCCCAGCACCTGCTGATCAGCATGGGCTGTGTAGGCAGAAACAGAGCTCCCTGCCCCCCTTCCCAAGGCCCCCCTTGGGGCACTTCCACCTGCACAGCCGGGTGTATGGCATTGTATGTTGGCTATGACTGGCACACCTGGTGCTCTTCAGCCTGCTGGCTGCTCTGATTTAGGGGCTCGTCTCGCCTGGCTCAGGGGCCTTTTCCCTGAAATCCACCAGCTGTGTGGGGTGTGGGGAGGTTGGGGAGCTGGCTGAGCAGGAAACTGCAGGCCCTTGTGGTGGCTGGCAAAAAAGCAAACAAGCCAAGAAACCTTTCTAGAGCTCATTTGACCATCTTTGCAACTTGGGGCCTCCAGCCATCCTTCTGTGGGCACAAAGAGCCTGGCCAGTGGAACCACTCTGTGGAGCAATTCACTCCCTCCTAAGCCTTAGTTTCCTCATCTGTGCAGTGGAAAGTCTGACTTGGGTAAACCTGCGGTGGGGATGCTAGTGCCAGGCTTCCTGGGTTTGAAACTTGATCCTGTGGCAGCTGGGAACTCAGGTAAGTTACTTGACTTTCTAGCACCTCAATTTACCCATTTAAGTGTGATACTAGTACTTCAAGGGTTGTTTGAAGACTGAACGATGGAGTGAGTGAAATTTTGGAGCTTCGAGCAGTTCCTGTGAGGATTGCTGCTGTTGAAGTGTTTAGAGAACACTGCACCAGAAAGACGCAGTGGAGAAAACTGGGTCTATTTGTGTGGAAACTTTTTGGTCTTTGTTCTTAATAAAGAAGCTCTGCATTGCTCAAGAGAAATTTTGCTTGCAGCTACAGCTGTTTGGAGGGGATGGGGTGTGCCTGCCCCACCTGCTCCCCTGTCTCTCTGCCTGCAGCCCCCAAGAGAGCTAATGGAGTAAAATCTGGAAACCTCCACTCAGTTTGTCTCCTTTGGTTCACAGTCAGGGAAATGAAATAGAGAGGAGCAGCCCAGAGTGGCCCAGCCTAGCTCAGCCTAGAACCTAGATCTCCTGGTTTTCTCTGGAAAAGACAAGGGGCAGGGGCTGGGAGAAAAAAAACATAAGACCAGAAACCTCTTAAGGGACTGGGTGCATTGTGGCGTCAAGTTATTAGCATGCAAATGAGATGTAAATGGATGCAAAACAGCATGTTTTATGCTAATTTGCAGAGTCGAGAGCGACGACATTTTTGGTAATAGGGCAGCAGTCCTGGTCCCTGGGCATTGCCGAACACGCATCCTTTTTATTCTTTTTTCTTTCATTATTATGATCAGGCCCATAAATCTTGGTTTGGCTGTACCCCCTCCCCTTCTCGCCTGAAAGCCTGGCTCCTGTTACCCTCAAGGGCTCCGTCACAAGGCTCCTGGCCTGGCTGCAGCCCAGGGACAGGCCTGGGCAGTGAGTCATTGAGTCAGGACTTAGGAGCCACCAGTCAGAGGCAGGGGGTGAGCTGGCCAGTCTGGCCTGGATGGTGCATCTCAAAGCGGGGGGGGGGGGGAGGCTTGGGATCTCCTCAGGACCACCATGGTCCCCTAAATTGTGCTCCGTTGTCTGTGAGGGTTGTGTGAGCTTCTCACGGGAGGGCAGGCTGGCTCCTTTGCTTTTCAGGGCACCCAGTACTTGGGCCCCAGGTTTTGGATGGGTCAGGTGTTTGGACTGGTGTGTTGTGGGGTGGTCTGGGGATGTGATCCTGAGACTACAGTTTGAATTCCAACCCGGGGCCCACTCCTTTCTAAGAAAACAGCAATACTGCAGAACTCACCCAAACAGAGGCACTTCCCATGTACCCCACTTTGTTCTTGCTGATATCCTTTAAATGTTGCAGAGGAGGGGTTAAATTATTTGTTCAAATAATTCCTCAGCAAGCAGCTGCTCAACAGAGGTGCTGTGGCAGCTACCAGGGCTTCTCCCCGTGCCATCAGCCTACCAGCCTACCTGTGAGCCTCTGTCTGAGGCCCCTGGAAAACAGTAATGGGTAAGAAACACCTCAGCCTTTTGTTTTCTGAACCACCTCCCCAAGCCTTTTCTGTTCAGAGAAATGGCTAAACAGACTGAAACACTTTTCTGCATGTGACTGAAGTCAGATTCTCTGTCCACTCTTTGGGGACTGGGGATGACTCCTCCTTTGTCTGTGACCTTTTCTCTTTTACAGGAACCTGCTGAGGAAGCCAGACAGGACCCTCCCACTTCCTCTTCTTTGTCTCAGGGTGGGTCAGCTGAGATTAGGGCCCTGTGTGCCCTCTGCAGCTAACTTTACTTGGGGATAAACACTTCCTTTCCTGCTGACTGATGGAGGCCCCCCCTGGCACAAGACAACCCAGGCCCCTAATTACCCCACTTGTAACCTGTCTACTCCTTTCTATATAGGCCTGGGGAGGGGAAACCCGCCCTGTCGGGACACTGTGATATGTGTCTGGGGCTCCCCCTCATAAATAGTGTGAATAGTACCGTCTTCCTAGTTCTCCTGTGTAGGCAGCAAGGAAAGAGCCCTGAGGCCTTGGAGTATTTTCTAAGCATTGGGAGGCCTCGGATTCCCCTTCCCCTTAGGTACCCTAGGCCCCGGGATGTGCGGAGAAAGAGACCAGGCCAGCAAAACGCTTGGCCATTTGGAGCAGTGAGCGCTCCAGAAGTGTCAACCACTCTTCGGCCAGCAGAGGACCGCGTCCTCAGAGAGAGCTGAGTGCTGCTGGACCTACACAGTCCGCACAGCGCGCACGCAGGTTAGAGGGCGAGTCTGGAGACCTCGGCTTCCCAGCACTGGGGAGCTCCGGGTTCCCGAATCCCGCCTCGCTTGGGGATCGCAAGCTGGGTCAAGGAGAGGGGGGACCTTCTCGCCCCCCACCTCCCCACCGCCCGCCTTTGATTGTGGCAAGCAGCGAGTCGCGGTGCAAATTAACTTTTTGCACACTTCATTATGCGCCGCCCCGCGTCCCCCGGGGCCGCGGCCCCGCCCCCGCCCGCGCCGACAACTTGATTGGGCAATTAATCTTCGCGCCCGCGCCCGGCCGGCCTTTGTGCGCGCTGCGCGGGCCGCGGGCCCGGCCGGCCGCCCGGTCTGCTCGCTCTGATAAGGCGCCCGCGCCGCCCGCCTTTGTCAGCGCCCGGAGCCGGCCGCGCCGCCGTCTCGCACCCCGTCAGCGCGCCCCCGCCCTGGGCTCAGCCCATCTGTCTGCGCCGCGAGATCCCCAGCGGCCGGGGCTGGGGGAGGGTCCCGCTCTCGGGCAGGGAGCCAGCACCCGCTCCACCCGGCCACCCCATGTGTCAGAAGTGACCCCCCCGCCCCCCGCCCCCCGCCCAGGAGGCACGCGCACACACACACGCGGGGCCGCCCAATTAAGCGGGGCAGTAATAATTAAGAAGGGGAAGGCAGGATGCATAGCAGCAGTTTGAGCAATGGGGGCGGGGGGGTCCCCAGCAGGGTCCAGAAGAGAGGGGGTCGCTGCCACCCATTCTGCACACCAGGTGGGTACCTTCTGGTTATTGGCTGGGACCTGGGGGATGCAGGCTGGGGGCGGGGTGGGGGAGGGAGTGTCCCTGGGAATTTGCCTGACACCTCGTGCCTCTTTGTGCTGTTTGAAGGGTTTTGCCAGCAGTTCACCCGGCCTCAGAAAGGCAGACAGTATTCAGGTCGCACAGAACCAGGGTCCTAGCTGGTGGGAAAAGCCCGGGCACTTTTAGAGACTGAAAGCACCGGGTCCCAAAAGGGGTGGTGTGCTGGGACCACTCCGTGCTTGGGTGATGGTGTGACCAGCTGAGCGTGTTGTGCAGAGCAGGGAACTCAGTGAGTGCTCACAGGTGTGTTTTTCGTGAGTCCACAGTGTCCTCTGGAAGGCTCAGTGAAGTGAAATCTGACGGCGGCAGATGTGGGACTCTGGGCCAGCAGGGCAGCGGATGGAGCCTTTTCAGCAGGGACAGGCAGGCTGCTCCGTGGTCCTTTGGCTGAACTTGGCTCGGGGCAGGGATGGTGGTAGGGTTTGAACAGAGGATTCATAACCTTTTCTTGTTCCCAAAGAAGACGTGTCACCTCCCTGGGTGTAAAGCATCCCCTGTACAGCGCCGGGGAGACAGCGGAGTCCATTCAATCCAAGAGCAAAACTGATCAAATGCATATTTGAGTTTGCACTAGTGCCAGTGGGTACTGGGGACAGTTGTGGGTTCCTATGCAGACTCAGTCTAGTTTGGAGGGTGGATGAGGAATCAACACACGGACATGTGGTAGTTCAGTGGATGAAAAGAGCTGTAGAACTATAAGGCAACTGATTGCCCCTCTAGAGTGTTCCATGGCCAGGGCAGTTAAGGCCGCACTCCTGGGCCTAGAGTCCCTCTGACCTTGTGCAGTCTCCTCTTTTCACTTCCTAGTTCCAACCCTCAGCTCTGTAGCCTTGGGCCAGGGTCTCTGGGATGATGGACAGGCTTCTAGCACAGTGGCCTCTCCCCCCATCCCTGAGGAAGTGGTGGCGAGAGTGGTTTCCTGTGATAATGACAGCCTCCAGTCTTGCATGACCACAATGCTGCATGAGCCTGTAGTCCAGAAGGGGCCCAGTGAACAGGAGCTGAATTAAAATGGAGAAAAACAGCCTCTTTCCCCTAAACCCTCCTCCCCCCGTAGCTCCTGAAGCCATGCGTGAGTATGGCTCCATCCTTTTGCTCTGCTGAGCTGGGTTAGCTGGGTGGACACCTCTTTATGGACACTAAAATTTGGGCTCATCCAGACCCAGCAGGTGAGATACCAAAAAAGAGCCCCCATCCTGCCCCTGTGCACACCAGGTTTAGATTCCGCATTAGCTGTGAGCCTGATTCTGATGTTTATCTTGGAATACCAATGTTGTAGGCGTCTGACTTTCTAGAATTTTAACCTCCTGCGCATCTGGCACAAACATTCTGGAATTCCATAATTTATGCTGTAAAATTCCGAGGCTCCCGTATTGGTTTTGTGGCAGGTGCACCCATTCAAATAACAGTGGGGAAAGAGTACATGCACATATAATATGAATCATAGTAATCATAACTAACAGTCTTTCAACCATGTTTTTATTCAACAAGTATTTTTTTGAGAATCTTTTAAGTGCTAGGCATTATACAAATACATAAAGTAAGCCAAAAGTATTATGTTAGAAAATTGCACAAGAAGGATGCAGGGAAGAGGAGAATACAGTTAAAATCGATGGTCAAGAGGTCATAGTTAAATTTTTCTGCTTGTCTTTCAATTATTGAGGTTGAAAATCTAAATGGATAATGCTGGATTATTTCTTCTTGTAGGTCCATCAGCTTTTGCTTTATATATTTTGAATTTCTGCTATAGGGACATACCTACTTAGTATTATTATATATATGCTCTTAAGTGATTATCTGTCTCTGGTAATATTTGCTCTGAAACCAACTTTGTCTGATATTAAACTAGCCACTCTAGTGTTTTTTGATTAGTAGTAATATAGTGTGTTTTTTCCCACCCTTGTGCTTTTAACAGGTGTGTTTAGAGTGTGATCTTTTTAATATTTTTATGGTGGCATATCTATGAGTTATGTCTCTTTTCCTTAATTCGACTTGACAATTTCTGCTTTCTCATTGGGAGTGTTTAGACTGCTTACATTTAATGTGATTATTGATGCAGTTAGAGTTGAGTTTATCATCTATTTGTTTTCTACTTTTCCCATCTTTTCTTTTTCTTCTTTCTCTGTCTTCTCTGAGTATTTTTATTATTCCACTTTACCACCTTTGTTGGTTTATTAGCGCTAGTGTTCTGTTTTAATGGTTGCCTTAGGCTTTGTAATATCTATCTCTAACTTATCACAGTGTATCTTCAAGTGATGTCACGCCACTTCGTGTGCAGTATAAGAACTTTGCAAAAGTATATTTTAATTTTTCTCTTTCTGGGCTTTATGCTATTGATGTCAAGGATTGTAGCTATGTATACAGATGCTTCTTGATTTGATAGAATATTTTGATAGACCCATCATAGGTTGAAAATGCACTTATTTTTTAAATTTTTGTTTTATTAGTACACATTTGTGGCACATAATGATTACATTCATCATGGGGAATTGGTACATGTACATAACACATCTTAAACCTTTTTATGTCCCCTCGCTTCCCCCTTCCCTATTTCTTCCTCCATCTCTCGGTCCCCTTTCCATTTGCAAAAGATCTCTCTTCCTGTTTTCTGTTACCTATTTTTTATTTTGCTCTTTAATTTGTTTATACTTTGGGTTTTTCATGTAAGATTAACTGTAATACCTAAGAGTGTGTGTCTGATTTCTTTCACTTAACATTATGGTCTCAAGGTGCACTCATTTTCCTACAAATCCCTCAAATTTATCTTTATGGCCAAGTAGTATTCTATTGCATATAAATACATTTTCTTCATCCATTCATCTGTTGATAGACCTAGAGGCTGCTTCCAATATCTGGCTATTATGAATTGTGCTGCCATAAACATGGGTATGCACGTATCACTCTAATAGAATGCTTTTAACTCTTTCAGGAATTCACCTAGAAGGGGAATAGTTGAGCCAAATGGAATTTCTAGGGTTATTTTTTTTGAGGAATCTGAATACTGATTTCCATAGTGGTTGTACGAGTTTGTATTTTCACCAATGAGGTTTCCTTTCCTCTTATTCTCACCAGTCTTTTTTATTATTTGATTTTTTTTTATCGGTACCAGGGATCGAACTCATGACCACACACTTGCACGGCAGGCATTTATGCCGCTGAGCTAAACCCCCAGCCCTATTATTTGATTTCTTTATGATAGCCATTCTTTTTGCAATCAAGTGGAATGTTAGTGTTATTTTAATTTACATTTCTCTAATGATCAATGATGTTGAATATTTTTCATGTGCTTACAGTCATTTGTAGTACATATGATCTTCAGGACAGCATAGCTTGGTACAAATTGTTGACCCCCGTGATTTGATGGCTCACTGGGAACTGCTGCTGCTGCTACTGCTCTCCTCACAAGAAAACATCAAACCATACACTGATACAGGAGGAAAAGATCAAAATTCCAAGTATGTTTTCTACTGAAATGTTTTCTACTTATTGTTTTCATACCGTTGTATAGTTGAAAAATCATAAGTTGAACCATTGTAAGGGAATGTCCATAAATTACTACATCCACAATGTTTTTCTTTAGACGGGAGGTTACTTTTAAAGACAACTTAAATCAGAAAATACTAAGAAAAAAACATATATTTACTCATGTAGTTAATATTTCTGGTGATCTTAATTCCCTTGTGTGGGTATAGACTTTTATCTAGTTTTACCTTCTTTCTGCCCAAGGATTTTTTTTTTTTAATTTAAAGAGAAAAAAGAAACAAAACAAAACAAAACAGTAAAATGGTACAAGTAATACAGAATTTCAAAAAAAATTAAATAAACAGTAAGAAATCACTAGTTAATAGATTACATATTGTCATCTTAGAAATAGTTGTTCAAATTACAAAATTAAAGCATACAAAGTGGACATTCAAACACTGAGATTGCAAACAGTTCTGTTCAATGATCCAACAAAAACTTAGTAATATGGTTTTCTATCTTACACACTTAAATATACATGCAGTTATATTCTTTTTTTTTTTTTTTGTCTTTTTCCTTTTTATCGGTACCAGGGATCGAACTCACGACTGCCTGCTTACAAGGCAGGCGCTTATGCCACTGAGCTAAATCCCCAGCCCCGCAGTTATATTCTTTAGAGCACTTTCTTTTCCTCTCTTTTTTACAATAACAATTATACATTTTGGGTTTTATTACTCCCACAGTTCTTATTACTTTTTTTTGAAGAGAATAAAACCAAATGTGACAAAACAAAACAGAGTCAGTTAGAACAGAAGGATGGACATAGTACATGATGTAAAAACAGAATACCAGGTGATCAACAGTGGTTACCATCATGCCTCTTGCTATCTTAAAAAGAGTTGCCTATATCATCAGGTATAATAGAATTGAACAAAACAGTACAGAACAAAACCAATAAAACCTAAACATTGGAGACCTTACAGGACTTCAAAAGAAGATAATAGTCAAACCATAATGGGCATCATAATGAATCTTACTGCCTTCAAAGTAGTTGCCTATACCCTCAAACTTGATACTATCAAACAAAACAGAATAGAGTAAAATCAGTCAAAACAAGATGGTGAGAGCAATACAGGGGTTCAAATCAGGTTAATAGGAAAACAAAAATTTACTATAATATATCCCGCTATTTTTAAATTTATTTTTCCCCTTAATTAAAAAATAATAAAAAAATTAATTTTTTAAAAAAGGGAGATTGCGATAAAAGAGGACAAAACAGCACAGGTCAGAACAGAACAATTTAAGCAACATAGTGTTTCACCACCAGATAACCTGACATAATAGTAGTTACCATAGTGTCTCTTTCCTTGAAATATTTGAGTATAACTTCGTATACTATAGCATCAAACATATCAAGACAGTGTGAAACCATTCAAGAGAATGAAAGTATTAAAGGTTATTTAGAACCAGCTAACAGAAAATGAACAACGGTTTCTATGTTATCTTTTTGCCTATAAAAATTTTTGTTAATACTATCACATATATTAAAATCCAATAAGATACAACATGATAAAAACCAATGGAGACAGAAGAGCAACAGCTTGATGGGACTTCAAAACAAGATGATATTAAATCAGCACTAGCTATTATGATGTCTTGTTTTCTTCAAAATAGCTGTTCATACTATTACAGCCAATAAAATCAAACAACCCAGAATAAAACCATTCCAATTAATGAGTGAAAACATTATATGGCTTCAAACCAATACAGTAGGGAATCATGATTACCACATACTTTTATGTATTCTTATCATTTCTTATACTAGGGAAACTATTCGGTATTCATACATGTGAGTTTGATTTTTTTCACTTATGAGTATGGTCTCAAGCTGCGCCCGTTTATTTATAAATATCTCAATGTGATCCTTCTTTATAGCTGAGTAGTACTCCATTGTATAAAAATACCACAACTTTTTTATCCATTCCTCAGTTGATGGACACTTTGGTTGTTTCCAAGATCTGGCTATTACAAATGGTGCTGCTATAAACATGGATGCACGTATATCACTGTGGTATGATGCTTTCAGTTCTTCTGGGAATCTGCCTAGATTTTTCTGGGAATCTGCCTAAGGATTTTCTTTATCATTTCTATTAGTGTAGATCTGTTATTGTAGCATTTGAAAGTCTGAAAACTTTATTTATTTAATTTTTTGAGACAAAATCTTTCTGTGTATTCCAGGATGGCCTTGAACTCACTACGTAGCCCAGGCTCAAAGTTACAGCAGTCCTCCTGGCTCAGACTCCCTAGTTCTGGGATTACAGTTGCACACCACTACAACTGAATTTGGAAACATATTTGTTTTACTTTTGTTTCTGAAAGACATTTTAACTGAGTATAGCATTTGGGTGAAAGGTTCTCTTAGTACCTTATAAGATGTTGCCTCATCACTTTCTCCTTTATGCTGTGTCTGGGAAGAAATCCGATGTCATCCTTATAATTGTTCCCCTGTACCTAGCTCATCTCTTGTATTGTACTTTTCTCCTTGGCATTGGTTTTGAGCAATTTGATCATGATGCCTTGTGCTGTGGTTTGTTAAACTTCTGGGATTTGTGAATGTATGGTTTATGACAGATTTGGAATGTTTTAATGAACTCTTTTCCTAATGCTCTTCTTAATTTTTTTATTCTTATTTTTTTGCTATGTGCTCAGTTCTGGAGAGTTTCTATCTGCTATGTTTTCAAACTTACTATAGCTTTCTTCTGCCATGTTTAGTCAGCATTTTTTCCATTACAGACACTGTACTTTTTATTTTTGGGAGATTAATTTGGGTCTTTTTATGCCTTTCCTGTCTCTATGTCTCTCCCTAGTTTAGCTTTAAACATATATATGTCAGTTTCCTCACTAGGGGCTGTACTTAATTCCTTCTTAGCATGCCTAGTAACCTTTGAGCATCAGACATTGTGAATTTTTCCTTTGTTGGGTGCTTTTTATATCTCTATACAGTTTTTTGTAGTGATGAATTTTAAACTATAAATCTTTTTGAACTCTGCTCAGGTGATCCTTTCTAGTCTTACTTTTGTGCTTTGTTAAGTGTGTTCAGAGCAGTGCTCTGGTGGGAGTGCAAGGCACTGCAGGGTGTGGTGGCTTGGGATGTGCACTCAGGATACCTCCTGGAGAAGGGAGACTGAGAGCAGAGGACGTGAGGAGGGCATTCAAAGATGAGAGAAATGGAGAAAGAGAACTCATATTGCCTTCAGGAAGTCAGCAAGACTAGAACACTGGACAGTGTGGCTGGGAATGAGGTGGAAAGTGACGCAGTGCCTGGGGATTGTGGCAGCGGTTCTGGGCCTGGCCTGTGGCCTCTTCTCTTTTCAGGATAGGGCTATTCTCTGCAGGAGACTTTGGATGCATAGGACTCTGAATTCCTGTGGTCCCAAGCCCCCAAGGAAGCCCCACTGCCCTTCTCCCCTCTGCGTACATGCTCTTGTTAAGTTCTATAAAGCAGACCTGGGCAGCTAGGAGGATTTTCTGGGAAGCACAGAGTGTGACTTCCAAAGTTGGATCATAACATACATTGCTGCTTCTGCCTTGGTCAATGGATTTGACAGCTTTGGAGGAGGCATTGCTGTGCCATGAACTCACCCAGCTGACCTATGCAGTGGCACATGGAGAGGAGCTGAGGTCCCATGGGCAGCCAGTGCCCACTGCCCATCCTATGAATGAGCCACCTTACAATGGACCCTCAGCCTGGTCCAGCTTTCAGTTGAGCATAGCCCAGAGCCATGTGGCAAGCCCGGAGAAATGAGGACAGCTGTTCAGTGATGCTGGCTATTGTGTCACTGAGCTGGGCATGGTTTGTTCTGCAGCAGTGGATCATGAGGTCTTCTCTGGGCCCTTTCTGGCCTCTTCTGTGAACCTGATGTCATCTGATGACTATTGAAAACTAACACCCTTCTCTGGTCAAATTCAAGGACACAGAAGTAAATTGGGGTGCAATTTCAACGGGATCCCAAACCATCCAAAGTGGAACTTTAAGGCCCTAGGTCTCAGTCCCCATGCTCCTCTGCCCATCATGGCTGCAGCACCTGACTGAGGAGGGGGCAGAGTCCCAGCGGGTGCACTGCAAGCATGCTTGCTCCTGCAGGCAGTGGGACAGTGCTGGTTGCTGCAGGATCTCTGACTTGGCAGACCTGGGTGTGCATGACCTTGACTGCTTCTCCTCCTCTTTTCTGCACCCTTGGGAGGCTGAGCCGCACAGAGGAGGCCAGCAGTGTGCAGGCTGTGGCTGATGAATGGGAGATTTAGCTTTCAGAGGAACAGGATGAGAGAGCCAGCTTGCATGTCTACGGGTGACTTCTCTGGCCAGGCCCTGCCGGCTGCTGGTGCTGAGTCTTGGCTGTGGCCTCTGCCTATGGGAGGCCAGGGCCTGGGGAGTGCAAGGCTGAGGGTGAAGTCTCCAAGCCAGCCCTGCACCTGAAGCTCGGCAGCTACCAGGCCTGGTGAACTGATCCCTGCTTTCTTCTCCTTTTCCCCTCTTCTCCTTCCTCCTCTCTGTCCTTGAATTATGAGAAACATGGACTGTGGTGGCAGCCTGCCAGGGTCCTAAACCAGCTCTACCACACTGGCTGTGCGACCTCAGGCAAATTACTTCCCTCCTCTGTGCTCTGGTTTCCTGAGTTGTAATGGCCTCCTGGCTGGTGGGTGCCTGGCACCTTTAGGTGCCTCAGGAGCATCCCCCGCTCATTGTTAATGCTCTTTCCTGGCTCCCTTTCTTCCCTTCACTGTCTGCAGTCTGCCTCCCACTGTCTCTCCGAGTCTTAGGCTCTGCTCCTGTCTCTATCTGCCAGGCATCTTGCACTCGCTGGCCCTGTCCTCCTGCCCCTTCCTCTCAGGCACAGCCAGGCTGCCCAGAACAGTTGCAGAGCCAGGTGGCAGGAGCATTGTCCCCGCCCGCCCATGCTGAGTCAGTGCGCAGGGCTGCCTTGGTGTCCCC